CACACTCACACTCACACTCACACTCACACACTCACTCACCCACACACTCACACTCACACTCACTCTCACTCACACTCACACTCACACCCACACTCACACTCACACACACCACCACCGCCACCATCACCACGATCCCCACCTTCATCACCACCATCACCTCTCTGGACCCCAATGCGTCTACATCTCTAGACTTTCTGCTCTGGACCGCACACACACTGTTTGGGGTCTCTTGCCGGGAGATATATATATTTATTTTTTTTGGGGGGTTATATCTATGTATATTATACACATTCAGGGGCCTGGGAAACAGTGAAGCATCTTGCACAAACCTGCCTGTCCGTTGGTCTGAGTTCAGTGGGCTTTTCCTACTACCACATGCATAGGATTGATCAACGTGGTGTTTGTTGGGCACACAAAATTTATTCAGTGCTTTTGGAGGTGATGCAGATTCTTATGGCACAGTACTTCAACGCCTTCGCGCAGAGTTTTTCCCAGGTCGGGTGGCTGGGCTTGGCTTTCACTTCCAGCCACTTTCAGCGAGCAAAGTGCATGCTGTTACACGAATATAGCAATTTCATATTGTACGGGACGGCACACACAAACACGCGAATATATATATATATATTTGTTATGTGGTAAGATTTGCGTTGTGTATATATATGTATATTTATTTTAAAACATATTGTATGTATGTATATGTATGTATATGTGAATGCCATCTCGTCATATCTTAATGTACACATACATACATACATACATGCATGCATGCATACATACATACATTCTAGTAGTACATCATGATGTGAGCGAGATTTGGGGGGAACTCATTTGCGGCGAGGAGCAGCTGGGCCATCAAGTGCCCACAGCAGCCCGCTCTCGACGGAGGCAAATGGTTTCTTTATTTGGCTGTTTTGTCTTCAAAGAACCACATACCCTAGTCTTAGACATGTTGGATGGTGATTGAAATGCTCTACCATCCGACTCTGATCAGCCAAGTCTTCGCATTTCTGTGTTTGACAGTGAGGTAAGACGTTTCGATGCAAGATTTGGCTCAAATAGAAGAGAACTTGACCTCCCCTTTCTGAAGGAGGAGGCCAACAAAAACTCGTCGATGGCGAACATTACATTGCCTCACTGCAAGTCAGTGGAGGAAGTGCTAAAATTTTACCAAGTGAAAGCCGATGCAGGGCTTTCGACTTCCCAAGTGGAAGAGCATAGAGCCATTTGGATCTGACAAATAAGACATGTTTGATTAGTTTTTGCATGCTGCATAGATGAACGTTGGTTGGTCCCACATGCAATCACCAAACGAACTACACTTCAGGCGAAGTACGGTCCCAATGCTCTTGAAGAACAAGAGAAGAAGTCCATGCTGGAACTGATCATCGAGCAGTTTGAGGATACCTTGGTAAGGATCCTATTGGCTTCAGCCATGATCTCCTTTCTTTTGGCGTTCTTCGATGAAAAATCGAAGGAGGAAGGGTTGAAGGCTTACGTGGAGCCTTTTGTCATTCTCACCATCTTGATTTTGAATGCCGTGATCGCAATTTGGCAGGAGCAGGGGGCTGTTTATTTTTTGAACCTTAAGCAGCAAGGGTCTGGTAATCTGTTGCTTATATAGATGCTTCCGCCTGCTGTTTTGGCATCTCAAAGCTGCATTTTCCGAGCCGTAGGACTCGAAAGCGGAGAAGGCACTGGACGCTTTGAAGAAGTTGGCCCCAGAGTGTGCCATGGTTCTCCGGAATGGGAACTGGAGCTCCATCGATGCAGAAGATGTGGTGCCCGGTGACATTTTGGAGGTTCGCGTAGGAGACAAGGTGCCTGCTGATGCACGGGTGATGAAGTTGAAAACGACCACCATCAAGATTGAGCAGTCACAGCTCACAGGAGAATCCCAGAGTGTCTCCAAGGAAATTGAAGAGTTGCCCACGATCGAAGGTAAAGAATGGGTGATCCAGGAGAAGCAGAACGTGCTCTTCTCTTCGACCACTGTCTCCAATGGTGCTTGCTTGGCGGTTGTGGTGGCCACAGGCATGAGCACGGAGATCGGCAAAATCCAGGCAGCAGTGACGAAGGCTGGAGAAGACGAGGAGCAGACGCCTTTGCAGCAGAAGTTAGATGAATTCGGCAATTTGCTCGCAAAGATGATCGGGGTGATTTGCTTGCTGGTTTGGGTTATCAACTACAAGCATTTCTTCGATCCGGTGCATGGCTCCGTGTTGAAAGGTTGCATTTACTACTTCAAGATTGCAGTGGCATTGGCGGTGGCAGCAATTCCAGAAGGTCTGCCGGCGGTGATCACAACCTGTTTGGCTTTGGGTACACGGCAGATGGCCAAAAGGAATGCTATCGTGCGAAAGCTTCCTTCCGTGGAGACACTAGGCTGTACCACGGTGATTTGCTCCGACAAGACAGGTACACTCACCACAAATGAGATGTGTGTGGTGAAGTTGGCCCTGCCTGAAAATGGGAGTATGAAGGCCTATGATGTGGAAGGCCACAACTACACACCAGTAGGCCGAGTGCCTGCGCTGTCGATCGACTGGACGAAATCCAAAGCGCTCCAGGTTTTGGCAAAGATTGGCTGCCTGTGCAACGAGCCCAGCCCTCAGATAGGAAGCCTTCCCACACAAAAGAAACATTGCTTGTTTATGGTCAGAAGTCAGAAGTGCCCAAACAATTGCCAGAACAATGTAAGATTGTGCTTCTGCTCAAAATCATGATTCTTCCAAAGCCTGTTCACACTCAGGTCCAGATTGCTGGTGGATGATGAGGAGAAATTTGTCCGCAATGGCGAGCCGACTGAGGCTGCAATCCGTGTTCTCGTGGAGAAGTTAGGGTGCCCTGACGAAGCCCTGAACAAACGGTGCCTCCAAAAGGAAAAGAGGTCGGAAGATGATGCCATGGCTTTCTCCAACCACTGGATGAAAGGCAGGACTACCAATTCCATGTTTTTTTTTGGTGCTGCAGTGCTTTATTGCTTGTCATTGCTGCTTCACTACCAGGTGCAATGTCAGATTTCTTGTTGCTTGAGTTGCTTCAGGCATGGAGAAGAGAGCTGTGCTGGAGTTCAGCAGAGACCGCAAGTCGATGAGTGTTTTGTGGCATGACAGCAGCACGGGAAGCAATGTGCTTTATGCCAAGGGTGCCCCGGAGATGTTGGTGCAGCGATGCTCCAAGATTATGTTGCCAGACGGTCAGGTGGAGGAGCTGACAGCTACATGGCAGAAGCAAATTGAGAAACAATTGGTGCAAATGGCCGAGTCCGCCTTGCGCACCATGGCTTTGGCCGTGAAGAGCGAGGCGCTTGGAGACTTGCAGGCCTACAACGGCTCCCATGACCATCCAGGGCATCGGATTCTGGCAGATTCCACTGGCTTCATCCAGGCCTCCTCCCTGTTTCCTCAATTCCTTTTACTGTATAATTTTTAGCCCTTTTGGACGATTCGATTTCTTTGATGTGCTCCTACCACCCACATCACTGCAATCCAGCCAAGCCAAGCCTGCCATGTTCAGGTGGAGGACGACATGACCTTCGTGGGTATGGTGGGAATTTTGGACCCCCCGAGGCCTGAATGCAAGCCGGCGATCGAGGCATGCCGTGTGGCTGGCATCAGTGTCATCATGATCACCGGTGACAACAAGACGACCGCCGAGGCGATCTCTCAAAAATTGGGCATCCTGGCGCCATCCGGCAGCCACAGCGAGAATTCCTTCACAGGGCAGGAGGGAAGCGGGGGCGTTCAGGGAGCTTCCTTCAGGGAGCTTTAGGAAGTGTTAGCCGGCAGGCACTTGGTCCGAAGCATACGTATCATAAGTCACCCAAACATTTTGCTAGGATAGGTTTGGGGGATGCCGGGGCAAAACACATGAACTTGTTGTCCATGTTGCGGAGCTACGCAGCCACTGCTGGAGGAGTTTGAAGCTCTTTCTGAGGATCGAAAGGTAGAAGTCTTGCGGAAGATCATGGAGAGGCGCGAGGTGGAAGGCGCAGTTTTTTCGAGAACTGAGCCGAAGCACAAGCAGCTGATCGTGAAGATCTTGAAGTCTTTGGACGAAATTGCGGCAATGACTGGCGATGGTGTGAACGATGCCCCAGCTTTGAAACAGGCTGACATCGGTATTGCAATGGGAATTGCTGGGACGGAGGTTGCGAAGGAGGCCTCAGATATGGTCCCGCCCTAAGTGGCTGCAAGCGTCAAGGTTTTAACTTACGGTGCTTCCAACCATTATGTGGCCATTGGCACAGAGGCTGAGGCTAGCTCAAGCATCAAAATTCATCAAAATGCGTTTTCTTTTGGGATCATTCCTGTTCCTTGATTTCCGGCTGAGGTCCTTGCAGACGATAATTTCACCAGCATTGTTGCTGCTGTTGAGGAGGGCAGGTCGATCTACAATAACATGAAGGCATTCATCCGTTACATGATTTCCTCGAATGTGGGAGAAGTGGCAGCAATTTTCCTGACTGCGGCCTTGGGTGTGCCAGAGGGTCTTACTCCTGTACAGCTTCTGTGGGTGAACCTTGTGACTGACGGCCCGCCAGCAACAGCATTGGGCTTCAACCCTCCTGACCTGGATGTCATGAACAAGGCTCCACGTCGCAAGGACGACGCATTGATATCAGTGTGGTCCTACGTTCGCTACTTTGTGGTTGGTGCCTATGTCGGCTGCGCTGTGGTGGGCATTTTCATGTTTTGGTACATTTTGGACGATGCCCCTGATGGCCACACCTTGGTGTCTTTGGAGCAGTTGCTGACATGGGGCAGCTGTCAGGAGTGGAAGGGCTTCAAGGTCAACGACTTCGGTGGGATGAGCTTTTCTTCCGACCCTTGCGCCTACTTTACAGATGGAAAGGCGAAGGCTTCCACGTTGTCTTTGACCGTTCTGGTGGTCATCGAGATGTTGAACGCATTCAATGCACTTTCAGAGGATGGCTCCTTATGCCAAATGCCCCCCTGGGCAAATCCATTTCTCATTGTTGCGGCCACCATTTCCATTGGCAGCCACTTCGTCATTTTGTACATCCCAGCCCTTGCAACGATCTTCGGCGTGGTTCCGTTGACTTTGCACGACTGGATGCTAGTGTTGGCCTTCTCCTTCCCAGTGATCCTCATTGATGAGATCCTCAAGCTCATCGGCAGAAGCACAGCCAAAAGCACAAAAGAGGTGAAAGACAAGAAGGCCTAGGACTTCTTGCAAGAGTTGGAGAGTTGAGTCCCAAGGTGCTGCCGAAAAGAAAAGGCTGTTAGTGAACATTTGCAGATGCTGGCCGATGCAATAATTCAGCAGCAGCTGCACTAAAAACGCGATTTCTGCATCACAGATGAAAATGTTCTTGCGACCGGAGGGTTGGTTGGCTTTTGCGCTTGGAATGTGTGAAACCTGAAAGATATTTTGAAAGACAAGTCAATTCATGTTGCATCTTGTACTGTGTGTGTTGTTCAAAAAGACGCACCGCATGGCAGAACTGATGCAATATGATGCAATCTTTAGAGAGCACAGTTCTTTTGCGCAGTCATTGCGTCGTTGCTGTGCGTCGTTGCGACCGTTGGCATACCCATTCGCCAGGCGCTCCAGCACGTCAAGCGGCGGCGGCCGGAGAACGCGGCGGCGGACGCGGTGAGCGAGGCTGCACGCTGACCTCAAAGACACAACTCTCCGATGAACGGTGCAGTGAAATTAGAGCGCCTGACACGTTCTTGTTTTGCCAATTCCGAACTCATGTATCAGGCTCTTAGCTTAAGGCACCGCCCTGTCAGATTGTGATGATTGTTGCGACGGCTCAGTACTGTATGTTCTTTGTTGGTCAGCTTGTTTTTTACTTAGAAGTGTGCAGACACACGTGGCGTTGGTAGTGGCAATGGACCACTGACCGACTGCAGTGTTGCAGTTTCTGGTAGCCCAATGCCACCTTGCAATCCATTGAGCTTGTTGCCATCGAGCTTGTTCGTGCCAAGCTGCGTCGCCAGCTAAACCACTGCCAGCCCACAAAAGAAGCATGTCTGCAAAGTGAGTTCCAGGATGTAACATGGCAAGCCGCTCTGACATGGCAGATGGCTTCCGGATCAAGATCAAATGTGGCATCGCCCACCAAGTGAGGTCCACGTCAAGATTGATGACTTTGAGCCGCAAAACCTCTCAAACACGCATTGACCTCAGCCGTGACTATCATTGGACTATCAATATGTTCTTAATTCTTCTTATAGCGATGAACTAAACATGTAGAAGCAGTTTTCTGTTGGGGTTTTCTCCTAGGAAAAAAGAAGCTAGCTACAGTCTTTGCCCACGATTTGCAAGCCTCCAGGTTGGGAAGTCGACAACCAGGTGCCTTTTATACTTTGGCAATCACACTCGGCTCTGGCCAACTGTTTGAAATGGAGCTAGGACCAGTTCATTTTAAGATCCCCTTGCCATCCCTTGCCAATATCCTCTATTAAATGGGGAGGATCCACCCTCCATATTTTGAAATATGACCCCTACCCCTTGAGGGGGTCAGGTGTTGATGTTTTAGAGGAAACTGTTTGTGCATGATGTCGCCGCTGCTTTCCATTACTTTCCTGAAGCACTTGCAAGACGGTAGGGTCTGCTCATGAACAAAAAAAGATGGACATGATATTAGGTTCCCCTAGGAGGTTGGCTCCAGCGTTTTATGTCTATAAAATGGGCGTTTGGACCCCCCACTCACATTGGAATGGTGATGTTTTAAGCTTTCTTCCAAGTTCTACTGTACTTGTTTTTCAGGATGCTGGCGGGGGTCCTTGGATGTCGTCTTGGCGCATGGAACAGCGAGCAGCTCAAGTCGAGAGCTCAGGATGGCTGAAGAGTCCGAAAACATGAGGTGATGCTGTTCTATTCAATTATATAACATCTCCGATGGTATTGAGTCATGGCCACATTTCTCGTGATTTCATTTGAATTGCCCAAGGTTGACCACAAGATCGTCCGCCTTGTAGAGCCTGCAATTTGCTTGGGAACTGTTTGCAAGCGCAGCTGTGAATTCTGTGAATGATTGGCCTTGGGAAAGTCAGTTGATGTGACCCTTCTGCCTATGCGCATGCAAGATCATTTGCCAGGTTCTGGACCCCCAGTTTGGCATCGTGCAGTGTGCGTTTCTCGTGCAACCCTTTCGCAATCTGAACGGAATCAGCTCAGCAAACAAGGTTTGGATATCGCCAGCTCTGGAGTGATCCTTGTGGCCAAGACTTGGGAGGCTTGCAGGGTAATAGTCAATATGAGCTATATGAGCACATGATACGAGTAGGTGCATGGGCCATGCTTGTGCACGCTGAAGTTCCAAATGCAGACCGGATTGCTGACCAGAGAATATGTGCCTTCGCTGCCTTGAGAATTTTTGAGCTAGCAACTGTTAGTAGATGCCCTGGTTGGCGGGGCTTGTACTTTAGTATTCGCATGGCCGAGGTCATCGTGGTTCATGGATGGGTAGCTTCCTTGGCCTCGCCTCATGAGCGTTTGCCGAGTCACTTCAGGACTTTGAACGCGCTTGAGGTGCCCACCGATTGGCAAATTGATGATCTGTCCCTGGCTGAGAATGTAAACAAGAGTTTGCTCTTTTGACTATCAAGCAGTGGGCCTTGCATTGGTGCAGGTTCCACAGATGTGTTGCGCACTTGTGGGTGCTGGCACGCTTGAGGCATAGTCACAACCCGTTGACAGGTTCTGAGAGAGACTTTGCAAAACATGTTTTTTTTTTTCAATTTCTCCAGGTGTTGAGGCGCACAAGCCCAGATGAACAGCAATTCAGCTTGCTGCTCTTGCGGGTGCAGATCCTTGCCTTGAGGGGGCCGCCAGCTTTGTACTGTAACAGTGCAGAATAAGTATCACATGTGGTGGGGCACTGAGGCTTGAGCTTCATTCCCATGCTGCCATTACCAGCCTTTAGCTCCAATTTTGAAAGAAACTCCACGGTCGCAGCCATGGCGGACCAGTGGACCATCAAGGTGAAAATCCAAAGCCACTTTGCTGAAGTGACCATTGTAATTTCTGAAATGACCATTGTAATGTATTACGATTGCGTCCTGGCTGAAGACTGAAGATTCTTTTTGTGAGGCATGGACAACGATGCCATCAACAGCAAGAAAGGGACGAAGTGGAAGGCTGGAGATGACCTGACCCTGCAAATAGAGGGCCACGCGAGCCCCGGCTGCAGTCTTTTAAGTCTCAGGTCGATTCAACATTGTCCGTGAGCGCATTTTGTCTATTGAGTCTATTTGACTCAAGTCTTACTGAAACTCTTATATGATATTCATTCATTTCTTCATTTGCTATGCCTTCCATGCGTGAACAGAACACTGAGACGCAAATTGATGGGACATCCTTCTGGCTCAAGTAAGAGATGTCCCGCTGGAGGAAGCAGGACCCATGCGAATCCCTGGCTGTGGAGCTGCCTAAAGGCTTGCGAGGCTTTGCACCAATTCGACGTTCTGTGTGCCGTCGCTATAATGTGACCGTCGTTTCGAACGCCTGGCCCTTGAAGAAGAAGCTTGACAAAGCTGCCACTTGGCACAAGGCGGCCGACGACTTGAGATGATTGACATTATCGAATCATATGGAACACAAGTTGTTTGGATTTTTCTCCGTCATGATCACCTCAGGTATCTCCACATGATGCAGATGAAGCCGAGAATCGAGCATTCTGGAGGGATCGTGCGAGGCGCTTTCATGTGGATGCCCATTTTCCGGTGTTGGTGACAGAACAGCTTCTACCTGGCTGGCATGCATTTAGGCAGGACCGCAGCTTGCGATTTTAATAGACTTGTGGCCATTGCAGGGCCATGGCCTGCCAAGGACAGTTTATTCCTTGCGTGCCCTTCATGTTGAGATCACATTTTCTATTTGTGGGTTTTTCCTCTGCCAAAGACAGGATAAGACAGTCACAATGCGGTTGAATGTCGGTACTTTTATTGTTTACCCCCTTGTAGGCCAGATGACGAGGAGCATGACACAAAGCAAGCAGCCATGAATGGCTTTGGGCTGAGTGAAAGCCTTCTGAGGAACACCGTTTCGTGTGATGCCAAGCAGCAGATGAGGAGACCATCAGATCACGGAGCCTTGTCTTGCTTGATCTGGATGAAAAAGTATTCAGAGGATTTCAAAGCATATGTGTATACAGTATACTATACTATTACCAGATGCAGGACATATGTGACATGACATACGTGTGTGGGCACACACACACATATATATATATATATGTAGACAGTAGGCCAGGTGCTATGGACCCGCCTTCCAGCGTTTTGCAGCTTGAAGTTCGTGGTGAGCTGTCAGTCAGGTATCCCCTGGATGGGTTGTGGCACTGCTGGCGCCAGTGACTCCATGTGTGGTCGAATGCCAGTTCTTCATTTGGGTGATACCTACAAGGAGGATTTGTCTTTGCTACGGAGACATTCGAACGGTGAGCATGCCGTGGTCAAGGACTTGAATGGTATTCGTAAACCTGACATATTTTGACACAGTAACTTTTTTAACTACATGTATCATGTATAATATAGTTATCTGCCCAAATCTGATCCTATACCCCTCAGAGTCAATGGCTGTGCTTAGCAGGAGCCCCTGCTGCCAGTTGGCCGGGCTTCCATGGCGCAGCGGAGCTGCTATGCAGACCTGCAGGGTGCTGGCTTCTCACCGACCAACAGTGAGGCACGACGACAGGAGATTGCCGAACGCAAGCTGCGCGGCACCACTTTCATCAAGGAGCAACTTGGAATAACGTCAAGGTCTGCAGACGTTTGCAATTGAATTCTGCATGCACCCATGTTCATTTGGACTACTGTATATTTTTGCCTGCATAAACGCAGGAAGGATGGATAGTATCTTGAGTCATGGTCCTTTAGTAGATTCAATGAAGCTTCAAGACTATGGTAATAGGGCCATTGTGGGTGATTGTCAGGAAATGAGAGACCATGAGAGACTCGCGGCCAAGTGATACTCTGGTAACGTAAAGAAAGTCTAAGACGGCCCTTTTGAAGTTTTCACGGCACCTCATGGCAGCTGTTTTTCTAGCTTGGTCAAATCACTGAATTGCGTAAAAAACATCCAAACAAGTTCTTTGAGATCTCTAGATCTCGATCTCTCTCTCTCTCTCTCTCTGTGATGGATGTGCTCCGAGGCTTGAGCGCAGATACGCGCATCGCCGCGACTGCTTTCGGAAGGCCCAGATGGACGCGAGGGAAGCACAGAAGAAGTCGGAGGTGCCACACTGGCGGCGGGTGGAGGAGACTGATGCAAAGAAAAATAAACAGGGGGAGTATGCAGAGCATGTGTGTCACGTGTGTATATAATTTAGTATATCAGCACGCACTCTTTCATTTGTATATAGTACAGTAACTCGTTTTTCCCATTGCACGCTGGCCGTGTCCTAAGTAGGCCAAATTGCGCACACTAGTTCTTTCCAATCCAAAAACGTGCCTCGTCTACACACGGAGCGTAGCTCGTCTGTGGCTCAGCGAGGCCGCCTGTAGGGCTTCACCAAAGCATGCCGCGTCGACGGGGCCAGGAGGAGATGCCAGTCTCCAAGACATGAGACCAGGCCAACTGCCCAGCCTGGCTGGAACGGGACCGCAGAGTTGTGCCACAACTCTGCGGTCGCTCGTGCAACCGCAGTTCTTGTGCCGTACTAGTCGATAAGACTATTCCAGTTGATGTGTCTCAGATGTTGCCAAGAAAAAGGCAGCCACTTCTGTTTACTTGGATAGTTTTAGAAGACATAGAGTCGCCGCCGGGATACTGTACAGAGCTGAATCGCCACTCCTGTGTTCACTGGATTAAGTTCAGGGTGAACGGTTTTGAGTTCCCGATTGGCAACAAGGTGGTGCGGCTGGCCGTACATGTTTTTAACGATTGCTTTTCGCATTTGTGATGGGCGCCCTGTGGAATTGCAGGGGCGGAGATGTTTCACTGGCCACACCAGTGCAGAAAGTGCACGTTTGAGGCCACAAGCTGGAAAACATTGCCTGCTCCCCGTGTGCATGTTGGTGTTGCCTTTTGATTGCATATGCCAGTCATGCATCCTCGGCACCACTTGAGGACGGTCAACATGCTGAAGCAGAGAATTGCTTTGATTGTGATGGCGCACCCGATCCTTCACTGCAAGAAGAGCGTTCAGGGTCTCACATGGACTTGCGACTGTCCATGGACTCACGCGACATCCAACTGAGGAAGTACCAGTCCATATCCTTTGGTGGAAGTGAGCCACTGGATGAGGTGACAAAACTGGAAGATGTGGAAGGTATGGCAAATGGGAAGAGCCATGCCTTGAATTTCGCAGCATGTTGCATTGCTGTGCCAGTCTCCACCTTTTATATCCTTTTATCATTTTTGGAAACTGCATGTGTTGACACTTTCAATATCATCCCGCCTTGTATCGCCTGAGAACCATGGATTTGGTTGTGGCCGTTCCCCCGGAGCCAGAGGCGAACGCTTCAGTGTGGCTGTTCAACGGCCATATTCCAGACTCAACCGGTGCTGCACTGTGCAGGCTCCTCCCGTGGAGATATCCGATGATGCCAATTGGCTGCATTGCAGCGTGCAAGTGCCAACATATTCAAACAAAATAGCTGTATGCAAGATTAAATAGACCAAGACATACTGCGAAGGACTTTCAAGCATTCTCAGATATTCTCTGGACAAACTTTCTTAGGAAGTATCAATTTCAGCTCCGCAGCTTTGCTTCAAATCTTTGGCACCATCGCGATCGCAGGAAGGTCTGGTCACTGCAGAGGAAGAGCCCCTCCCAGCGTTGCCGTCGGCCGCCCCTTGGCGGTTATGGTCCACACGAGGTACAGTAGACTCTCATGACGCAAAGAACCCCTTGGATTTCGATCACTTTCTGCTACTTATTCTTCCAAGGATCTGATCAGCAAGGACCTGACCCTACGCACGCCCGCTCGCCCCGCCCGCTCGCCCCTGCCCGGTCGCCCGCGGGATCCGCTGACAGCTTTGGTTCCCATTTCCGGGTTTTATAATTATAGATTTCACCGTTCCAAGCAGATGGATCGCTACGAGTAGCAAGGAAGCTACTAGTAGCTCCTGGCATTACTAATTACTAGTAACAAGAAGCTACTAGTAACAGGTGCAATTTCATTAGTAACACGAAGCTTTTAGATTTCACCGTTCCAAGCAGGCAGATGGATCGCTACTAGTAGCGAGGAAGCTACTAGTAGCTCCTGGCATTACTACTAGTAACAAGAAGCTACTAGTAACAGGGGCAATTTCTATTCATTCATTCAAGGTAGGCAGGGTCGGTGATGAGGAATTATTTGATGTCATTCAGTTCACTCACTCCTTTCAGCTTGAGGCTCAAGCCAAAAAGGAGTGTCGCTCCGTGTGAATCAGGGTCGCTGATTCGCAAGATTCTTTTTGTGTGCGAGCCATGGCTGACGCAAGTGCTCGACGCGCGGTTGAGCAGGAGAAACTGAATACCTGGTGTGCCAGGATGGGGATTCAGAGTGCCAGCGACTTGGCTTTTTGGTTTACCTCCTACGAGGAAGCTCTTCGTGAAGCCGGCCGCGCAGTGGCAGACGGGTGGGATCTCGCTCGCCGTGAGAGCGAACCGGGGATGGCAGCCCTAGTTCGGCACCTTTTTGCGAGAGAGACCGTTCGCCAGTCTCGCCCGCCACAACCCTCCAGTATTCCGGCTCCTTCATTGCCTTCGTCTTCGGTGGCACGTCCAAAGCCGTCTTCATTTGCTGGGCCTGTCAAGCCAAAGAAGCAGCCAGCCCAGTCGGCCGGTGCGAAGGGCGGAGTCGCTGCCTTGTTCATTCGTGATTTGTTGGGCATCATGGTGACGTTGATGCCTCCGCCACCTGCCAGACAAGATGAATACATGGCCAATTGGTCCTCCCGCTTGGAGAAGCTATGCGCCCGCACTGAGGCGGCCACCATCAAGCGCGTGGTCCATACCTGGAAGGACTTGGTGCGCTATATCGACCATTTGGGCTTGAAGTTCCCCGACTCCCACGCATTGGCCACCTTCGTCAGGGAGCACCACGGTCCTACACGTGTTTTTACATCCCTGGGCTGGATGATCCGAAACCTTCGTGTACCACTGGATTTGAGTGAAGCTTCCAAGCCTGCTCCGGTCCGGAGTACTCGGCTGGGACAGGGGCAGTCCCAGGCAGCCCCGCTTGAGCCGGGCATGGTGACTCATTTGTTGGGGGTCCTGGAGTACACGGCCGAGCACGCTCACTGGCCTATTCTGATGGCTGCTGCTGCCATGGTGTTTGGGCTTATTCGTTTTTGCCACGTGCAACGGAGCTACCTTATTGGTGCGAACTCCGCCATCCTCATCTTCTGGTGCTTCAAAGGTAAGACCGGGACCCGGGATGGGTTCGCCTGGTCGATTCCTCGGCAGTTGGGCAGCCTCGACCTCTATGCCATTTGGAAACGCCAGTTGGACAAGGTCCGTCCAAGACACGGCGAGGGGTTTCGTCGTTGGCACTATTTGGCCTTCGACTCTGACACAGGTGTCCCCAGGTCGATTTGGGCAGTTCCTTCGAGTGGTTCGCCCCTATTTTGATGGCGTCTTGGATGTGCAGAACCTCAGCTCGTATAGCTTCAGGAGGGTGGTGCCCACCTTAGCAGGTAGTCAAGAAGCTCTTTGTGGACAGCCTTACGCCTTCGTTGGATGACATCCCGGCTCGACTGCAAGCTGCTCGCCTTCGCTTTGCATGGAACTCCTGCAAGGCCATGTTGGATGCCGAGCATGCAGCAGCCAGTTTGCCGCCCGCTTCTACTGAGGATGAGACCCTGCTGCCTACATCCGAGCTCGATTCATTGAAAGAGGCCTTCTACAAGCGCTACCATATTCGTCCGGAGCCTCGCCAGTTCCCATCGGATCGCTTGTTGAGCAAGTTGAGCCGTCAACTTTACCGGGGGCAGTTGGAGGTCATGGACCTGTGGACTGTACGGTCTTTGACGTTTCAGCGGACGCATAGCCAGAAGCGTCGCAAGGTGGGGGACGGCCTATACCTACAGGAGGACGACACCGAGGAGGATATGTCCAAGACCTGGTTGGCCTACCTCATGAAGCTCGAGACTTACCTGTTGGCTTTGGCTATTGTGGGCTGTCGGCCCCGTGACCCTCCTCCAACGGCCCCGGAATCCTTGGCTGCGAACAGCTTGGACTACGTGCAGGTGCCCTATGACACCTTGTTTCGCTACTATGCCCGGTGCCAGGACTTGGCCTACTGCACTACCGATTCGAAGCGCCTCAGCGTGTTGCAGCACTTGGACGTCGAGGAGGGGGCAGTGGTCTGCCCGAACTGCGGTCGGCACGTCACTGGGATCGGTGACCCATGCAGTGCACCGCGAGCGGGACGCGCTCTGGATTGCGGGGGCTCCGGGGCCAGTGGTGGGTGGCGGGGGGGGGCGCTCCCGCACCATCATCTGCGGCGGGGTCGCAGCAGCCGGACTTTGCCGGACGGGCAGGTTCTGTGGTCCACAGTCTTCGAGATGGCACAGCTCTATGCCAAGATTTCCAACGTGGCCGCTGCAAGAACAAGCGCAATGAATGCCCCAAGGGTGTGCATCGCTGTGGAGTCCTTCTGAAGTCGGGGCGCGTCTGTGGCTCATGGCAGCACGCGCCTGCCCGTTGCCCGAGCAAGGCTTGAAATGACGGCCGCTCTTCCACCGGGGGGGAGCGAGGCCAGATCCATGACATGTCTGGGTATACTGACTACCAACAGTTCATGGAAGAGCTCCCCCTTGTTGAGCCAGTGAGTGATACAGCACGCAAGCCAGTCTTTCTTGATGTGTTCAGCGGCTTGAA